AAAAAAAAAAAAAAAGAGGGACCAGCAGTTCGCATAATGGCTATGTTGCTGGACTCCCATGTAGTTGACCGTGGTTCAAGTCCTGGACCCGGTGGCTTATACTCACTCCGGGCGCGTGTGCTTGTATGCCCAAGATCCCAAGAGGAGAAGGGATTGTGGCGTGGCCATCCCCCTGGGAGGTGATTTCTCGCTTTCTGTCTCTGTCCTTAAGCGAGCGCACGTGCCCTATAGCAAAAACCTCTCAAAAAAAGAAGAAAAAAAAAATGATACCCAGAGGCATTTCTGGTTATGCTTTATACTTGGTTTTTTAGAGATTTTTGCCATAGGGTGTGTGTGCTTGCCAGAGAGATAGAGACAGAAACCAAGAAATCACCCCCTGAGGAGGTGGCTGTCCCTCGATCCCATCTCAGTTCTCTTGGGATCTTAGGCATACACACACATGCGGCCAGTGTCAGTTTAAGCAGCCAGGTCTGGGACTTGAACTGTCGACTGTGTGGGAGTCCGGCCATCTGCCGGTCTCAGTATATCCTCTTAAAGAAACTAAAGATCCCCAGCATATAAACCAGGCCGGAGGCCCACCTGCCCCACCTGCAGTCCTCAGGGACACGTCTGCCACGAAGCACCAGCAGGCCCGCTCTCGGGCCCTGTGTGTTTAGGTCCCCAGAGGGGCGAATGACGCCATGAGGTTTTGCTGGGTCCTCTTCAGTTCCTCAGAATCAAGCGTGCCCTTGGGTAAGTACCTCAGAGCTGTGGGGATTCAGAACAGGCGCGGAGGCAGGTGGAGGGGTGGGTAAAAACCCTGTAGGTGACCCCACATTTGACACCTGCACTGCCCTTGTAAACTGAAATGAGCGGCCGTCCATGGTTCCGCTTGACGGCGCAGAAGCGAGAGGTCCTCAGGGAAACCGTGCTTCAAGTCCCCTGTACCCTTCTGTGTGTCGCTGGCAGCTCGAGCCCTCGCCCATCCCTCCAGCAGCAGCGCGTCCTAACAGGAGTTGGCAGACCCCCGCCAGCGAGCCAGGTCTGGCCTAGAGGGCCCTATGCCAGGGCTCCCAGGTGAGCTGGGAGGACTGGAGAAACGGTCTGAGGGCTTTTTCCGCAGGACAAGGTTCGGCTACTTGGAGGCAGAGGCCTCAGGTGTTCTGAACGCGCAGGTGCAGGCCACAGGAGGTCCGCGCCCTTAGAGGGACCGTGAACTGCTTCACTGCCCTGGCCCGAGATCGTCTGGTGGGGAAAACCACGTTCCCCACCCACCCAGTTCTCAAACTCCTACTGGCCAAAACCACCACGAGGCCGCAGACGCTCGTAAAGAGGTACTGTTACTCCAGTGGTCCGCTCGTCAGCACTTCCTACGCAGGCCTGCCCAAGCCGGTTCACTGAACTGACCCTCACGTCCAGAACTGCCCACGTCACAATCTTGCCTTTCGAGGCTGGGGGGAGCATTTTTCTTTTAAAGACTTGCCAGCTTTCGGCGCACTCGGCACAGCGGGAAGGACAGCTCTCCGCGGCGTGCTACTTCTGTCCCTGCCAGGACTTTTCCTTTGATGACTTTCAAGAGAGTCAAACTACGGAGTGGCAAAAGCCTCCAAGAAGCAAGATGCCTTTGCCACTGGGAAGACGCCCTTCTCACCTGTGCCCTCCCCACGGGGAGCAGTGCCCTTGCCTGTGACATCATACAGGGAGCTTGCACGGTCTTCCTGCTACCAGTCGGCGCTGGAGCAGCTGCACGACCACCCCACGGCACTCAGCACTCACCGCCCCCAGCTCTCTGACAAGCACAACCTTGTGGACATTACTGATGCTCAGTTGAAGATTCCTGTCTCAGGATCCAAGTCGGAGGGCCATCTCTGCCGGCTCATCCAGCGATGCCCCCTTTCAGAGGTGGAAACTTCAAGAAGTCTTCCTAGAGGTTAAGGCTGGTGAGCAGACTCCCATATTCAAGTTCAGTGGGGAGAATGGCGAAGTAAACGGGGAGTAGAGGCGATCAGAAAGACCCAGCTTTCTCCAAATCCAGCCCCCCCTTGTCTCCACCGCATACCTGCCAGGTGACACCACCTGAAAGGCACACACTACTGTAAGGCAGTTTTCCAGCCCCCAGTGGTTGACTGTATATCTGATGTACGACGATTTTGGTGTAAGCCTAGCTTGAACACAACAGATGGTATTGTTTTTTAAAAGGAATCAGAAACTTTATTTTGCCTTTATAAGATAATTTATTTAAAAGTGTTCTGTGTAAAACAGCAAGCACAGGATAAAAGGAAATAGTTTTAATATTAAAATGCTGTGACTTAAAAAAAAAAAAAAAGACTTTTGCCATAGATTGTGTACACTTGCCAGAGAGAGAGAGAGAGAGATCACCCCCTGGGGGATGGCAACACCTACGATCTCGTCTCCATTCTCCTCTCGTAATTGTGTGCACGCACACACCCGGCAAGAGTTTCAAGTCAGCGGACCCAGGACTCGAGCTACAGTCTGCCGCGTGCGATTCCAGTGCCTGAACCACTGTGCCACCGGCTGGCCCTGTTTTCTAATTTCCCAGAGGGCATGTGTGCCTGACGCGGGCATGCGGGATGGTCGTGCCAGATCCCACTTCTGCCCGTGCCTCCTTTTGGGACTTTGGGCTTGAACATAAACCGAGTGGTTTTCAAGCTGCAGGTCTGGGCCTCGAATTGCATCGCAGTCGGCTTCATAAGATCCAGCCTCCTTCACAACCAGGCCACCCCCACCAGGGGATTGACTTTATAGAGCCAAGAATCCTGAGCCGGTTCCTGCCGCGGTGTCGTGTGGATGGGAGTCTGGACACCGGGCTGCTGCACTCATGCCCCATGCTTACATCTCGGACTGGGTCCAGGAGGCGGAGACGGGGACGGGGCAGCGCAGCACCAGAAGTTCACTCCGATGACAACCTCAAACTACTTCAATTTATAAAGCGGTATTTGGCCCTCCAAGGAGCGGGACCAAAATTCAGCGTGGTCTAGTCGGGGCTGCTTTGCGCAGCGACCAGACCGAGCTACGGCCCACTGCCCAGTGCTGGCTCCAAGCTCCTCTCCTGGGGAGGGGACAGGCGTGCTCTGCAGCCTCAGGCCCAGCAGCCTGCAGCAGGCAGGAGGAGCTTTCGTCGACACCATGCTCGGAAGACCTGCAGGCATCACCTGCCATTGCCTTGGCAAAGACGCAGCCAGCACGCTGAAACTCAGGGTTGAAGGTCACCCCCAAGTCCTGAGTCGGCAGCTCCCGGACCAAAGGGCACCTGGCCTCTAAGAAGCCTTCGGTGGCCGAGTGTTTGAAGATGCTCCTTGCTCAGTATTGGTTCCAGTTTCGTGTCAAAGTGCAGGTCTTAAAAACGCAGGAGCACATCACACGCTGACTTACACATGGTTTAAACCATTTGATGGTTTGGTTCAAGATGTAAAACTAGTTTGGTTACACCTGCACCCTTGTGTAGATGTGGGAATCCCAGTTTACTCTGCTGCATTTCTGAGGCATTATAGAAATCCCAGGCCACTGGACCTTAGAGCTGGACAGGTTCTTAGAAATAACCTGGCCCAGGGAACCAGCAGTTAGCGTAATGGCTATGTTGCTGGATTCCCACATAGTCGACCGCGGTTTGCGTCCCGGATCCGGTGGCTTAGAACTCACGCCAGGCGCGTGTGCGTGCGTGCCCAAGATCCTGAGAGAAGAATGGAGGAGGAGGGATTGCGACGTGACCATCCCCCCTGGGGGGTGATTTCTCGCTTTCTGTCTCTATGTCTCTGTCTGTCTGGCAAGCGCCCTATAGCAAAAACCTCTCAAAAAAAAAAAAAAAAAAGAAATAACCTGGCCCAACTCCGTTGTCAGACAGCTGGAGAACAGACCAGGGGCTAACTTCCGTTCTCCAGGCCCCACAGCTGACTGGGACACCACCCCATCTACGCAACTGGGCCCTCACTCGACACCCCCAGCACACAGGACAGAGGTACCTGCTTGCTACATGTTACGATGTTACGGGAGATGTCACTGTTCGTTAGTTTAGCAAACTTTGTGCTGGCAACTGTTAAGTTAGATACTTACAGTGCTTCACCCCCTTCCACAGTTTGCTACTCAAGGTCCAAAAATACTAAATAGAAAAATCCAGAAATAAGCGATCCGTAAGTTGAAACTGCACACTGCCCTGAGTGTCCGGATGACATTCTGCCCCTTCCTGCCCAGGACAAGGCGTCCCTCTGTCCTGTGTATCTGTTACTGCCACGCTGGGCACCGTCAGCGCGCACAGTTAACTGGTGCCCGCTGTATTAGCTGCTACTGCTCCTCTCTCGCGGGACTTAATTTATAAATCCAAGTGTATCAAAGGCATACATATAAGCAATATGGAACTTGGCAGGTTTCAGCACAAGCCGTGTGACTTGAGGCATCCCCTGGGGTCCTGGAATGTATCCCCTGTAGGTAAGGGACGAAGGTTAGACTGAGGCGGGCGGCGCGCACTGCCCAGTTACCCTCCTAGGCCATGTAGGCCAGGTGCAGTCAGTCAGCGACAGCGGGAAGACCACAGGAGCTCTCGGAGCCCGTTCCCCAGTTAGACACACACGGCTTGGCTACAATCGGCCGATGAAGCTTTCTGACAGATGACTCAACAGTAAGGAGAAGTTCAAGTATTCTTTATTCAAAGTTGAAAAATGTACCATACTGCATTATTGCAAAAATTCACTGGTACAAAACACTTTGCAGCTGGTGAGAAGGCAATAAAAAGTTGATTTTTTTAAACTCATTACTATAAATTATTCTTACAGTACTTTGCAAATTCAGAATTTCAAACTGCATTTTCTGTTTCTAAATTGCCCACAGTACTCGAGGTTCCTGAAGCTAAGGCAGCTGTTTCAGAGAGGAGGGGGAGGAGGAGGTAGCAGATGTCAAGGGATCTCCATTTCTCTTTCGATGCCCACGTACTTCAGGGCATCAGCCTGGCTGTATCTGGAACAAGATGAAAAAGCAGTAACTACCCACCCAACAGGCGGCACCGTCTGACCGAACGAGGACCACCACACACGCACCTAACCGCACATGAAGGCACCTGGCAGGGGGCAATGCCCAACCGGTGTCATAGGAATCTTGCCATTGAGAAGCTGCCAAGCTCTGAAGTGGACAAAGCCATTACGACAAGAAGCCCCATGGCTCTCTACCTGGTCTTCCCTTCTGCCCTGAAGCAGACCACCCCAGGAGAAAGGCCACTTGGTGACCTGTAGCCTGACACTGGGAAGGCAGAGACCACGATCTGAAAAGATCTGTGACTAGAGCCCCTAGTAAACAGGCCAGAGAGCAACACAGTGATCGTCCCAGGTGAAGACAGAACTGGGGTGCAGCAGACACCCAGAAAGGAGCATGAGAACGCCACCACCAGGTGGAGCCTCCAGGCTCCAAGGAAGCTGGTCAGCTCCACCCCGTCCACCACCACCCCTCATTCAGAGCTCACAGTGACCTTCCACTGAAGACCTTCACTCAGATTCTCAACTGTGCAGGAGTTTGGCATTAAAATGGGTATTTGTGAGGGTCAGCAGGTGGCATCGTGGTTGAGGTGCTGGATTCCCACATGACTCCCTATGGTTCAAGTCCCAGGTCTGGTGGCTTAAAAAATTGCACCAGGCAAATGTGCCCCAAATCCCAAGAGTGGAGAAGGGACTGTAGTGGGCCACCCCACTCCCATCCCAAGGATAACTCCTCTCTCTCTCCCCGTCTCCCTGGTGAGTACATGAGCCATAGGACAAAAGAAAAAAATGTGGGCCCTAGTTTCCAGCAACTCAGTAATCAGAACAGCTTCTGGATGGGATGTACATGTGGCAACAGCATTTCTGAACTAGACAATCATCTGATGACAATCATCTGATACACATGACGGGTGCAGCCTGTCCAATCCACCCCACGGAGCGTGGCAGTGTAAGCCAGCGGCTGTGCAGTTAATGCCAGGCGTGCAGTTAAGCCCATCAGTGGCCAATGGGTCTCCAGCATCCCAGTGGTTTTTCCCTGAGAAAGAATCCACAGGGTGACCAGGTAGCTACAGTCCCTCAGAACCAGCAGGGTTGGTCCCCTGAGGACACTAAAAGCCGTGGAAGTATAAAATGAGGTAGTATTTGCATATAGCGTAGACACATCCTCATGTACGCGTAAGTCATTTCTAGATCACTTACAGTGCTTACTGTCATGTGAATGCTGTGTAAACGTTACCTGTGCTGCTAAGGAATAAGACAGTGGAGGTGCAACCACCGTCAGGGCCCCAACTACGACACACCTCAGCAACAAGGTCACACTTTCCCATCTCGGCTGATGGAGTCTGTGGGTCCAGAGTCTGGCTGGACACACAGGGTGGTCTGTATTTGCCAATCAGGCCTGGCTTTCTTTTCTGTGAGTTCATTTATTTTTTTCTTTCAAAAGCACAAGACAGAGGAGAGGGAATCCCAACAGGGTGCTGGTGCCATGTTCCCCGCCCAGCACACTCAGGGAGGTCTCTGGATGTGAACCCAGAACCCTCTCATGGGGTCTGACTCACAGAGTGCCACCCTGACTTTTAAAGGAATGAATAATGATTTGTGCAATAAATATGCTAACAAAAACAAAACACCTAAATGTCCTAGCAGCACAGACGGTCACCACACACTGCCCAGTAACGACATACTGCAGGCCACCTGCACAGAACCACTGACCACATCCACTCTGGAAGACGTACCACAGGCCTGTGGAGGGCATGGCGTAAAGAGGGCCCCAAGGCACACCCAGCTGTCCAGAGCAGGGTGAGAAATGGGCTGCATGGCTTCTAGTACTCGTATCAATTCATAAAGGGAACCCTCCATTACCAGGAAAGCATAACCTAACTCCCCACTATGGCCATGGCAAACCATAGTCAAAAGGCTTGCCCGTCCGTGACAGCACGTCAGCAAAGAACCAGAAAAGCGTCTCTGTCCACAGCCCCAGCCCACATAGAAAATGCCCTCAGAGCACCCGAGAAACGTGCTCTTACCAACCTGTAATCAAAAAACAGCTCTTCACCGGTCTGGATGGCTCTCTTAGCAAATATACCTATCCTGTGATCGCCGTTCACCATCATAACTGCAGAGAGACACAGGGTGGTGTCAGTGAGCAGGCGACGGCCACGTGGAGTGACCCGGCTTGTTCACATCACGAACGCCTGCCCCTGAGTACTCCAGTTTGTCATGACTGGACTGCAAGGGCCTTCCTCTTGCCAAATTACAGTAACTCTGACTTTCTGAGTACCTACCTTTTGCATAGCAGTTCGGGTTGACTGAATGATTTGCAAAACGAATTTTGTTACCCTTGCGGGTTGCATCCACCACAAAATCTAAGAGGGAAAAATAAGCAGAACCCAGTGAATAATTTCATAATATATCAATAAACAATTATTATAATTCTGGAAATACAACTAGCTATAGTTCTTTGGAGTTTGCCTTCAAAACCAAATCATTCAACCAACTTCATTCAGTAATAAATGGCATTCTAAAGAAAATACTGCTATTGTAGATTAAAAATAAACCAGTGGCAAGGCAAGATGGTTGTCTCAGGTGCACTTACTTATCAACTACATATCCCTGAGCAACACATGGTGACAGCAAAAATGGAATCTGACCAAATTCCTCCCAACACAAAAAGAGGTATTTCACTTTAAAACTATTAATATTTTTCATTATATTCCCAGACAAAACCTATTCTGCCTGCTCCCACTAAGGGCCGTGGAAGTATAAAATGTCCACACAGCTGCTCTTGCCACCATCCCAACCAGCCACCCTTGCGGCCTGACGGCACCCCCAACAGCAGCTCGAGAGCAGCGGCCTTTATCCCACGGCCCTTTAACCAGGGCGTACAGGGAGGGAGGATGTCACCTCCCAATTCAGGGCGCCTTCTGCCCAGGTCAGAGGCACTGACGGATTCTCCAGGGGAGGCAGGCCCAGCTGACTCGGCACTCATGTTTTCAGGAACACAGAGGTGAGCGTGAACAGCCAGTGTAGACCCCTCCCACCACCAAGACCCCCACCACCAAGTCCAGTTGCTCCCTGAGGAACTCCTCTCGAGCAAGGAGCCACCTATGCCAGGAGGAGAGGGAGACGAGGAGTGCCTCCTCACCTCCCTGACAGCTAACTTCAATCAAATAGCCATCAGGCGGCTTTCAAATGCAATTCAGAGGAATGCAAGTGGTCTTGCTCAGAAACATACCATTGTTCAAGTTGAACAGAAAGCTGCACATGTATTTGTCATAAACTTTTCCTCTTCTGTCAGCTTCATCTTGAGAAATAATCTAAAAAAGATACAAGAGGTGGGGCTGGCAGGTGGCGTGTTGGTTAAGGCACTGGACTCCAACATGGCAGACCATGGTTCGAGACCCAGACCTGGCAGCTTGCTTTCTCTGTCTCAAGCTAAGTTAAATAATAATAATAAATAAATAATAATAATTCTAAAAAAAAAAAAAAAGAAGACACAGAAGAAAATTGTATTGAATTAGGTGAACAAGCCTGACAAAACACACCAAAAGCCACCCAAGAGAATTCTGGTCCACTTTGAGAATACAACTGTGGCCAATTTCTCTCTTCCACTCAGTCTGCACACTGATCCATACAAGAACAGCGACGTGTTACAGACTCGACCTCAACAACAGCTCCACAACCTCAGTAATTATGCTTGGACAGAGTGACTAACAACAGTCTCTGGGAAGTAAAAAATACATGGGGTGAGGCAATTCCAAATTGAAACTAGGCATACCCTTCTTCCCTAACCCTACAACTGAAAAGGCAGGTCATTAATGACACACTCCTTTCCGGGTGCTTATCACCTAGGTGTGGACTGAGCAGGACACACTCTACAGGCGAAGACTCTTGTCCTCCCCATCTGTCCCCAGACGATGAAAGTGTAAAGGCAATGGGAACCAGCAGTTGGCGTAATGGCTATGTCGCTCGACTCCCACGTAGTCGACCGCAGTTCGCGTCCCGGACCCGGTGGCTTAAAACTCACACCAGGCACGTGTGTGTGTGTGCCCAAGATCCCAAGAGGAGAACAGAGGAGAAGGGATTGCGGCATGGCCCTCCCCCTGGGGGGTGATTTCTCGCTTTCTGTCTCTCTCTGTCTGTCTGGCGAGCGCACGTGGCCTATAGCAAAAACCTCTCCAAAAAAAAAAAAGAAAGTGTAAAGGCAACTGGAGTCGAAGCAGTCCAGTTACACAGCAAAGCAAATTCACAAGCACACGTAAATCCAAGTTGAAAACACATTTTCAATCCATTTCTCATCATACCCCATAGACCTGCCCAATAAAAGCAATCGAGAACAAGAGAGACGCGGCGCACCGAACGTGCACAGTGATGGCCTTACCTCCCCACAGTATTCTGAGATGAATTCGTTTTTCTGTACAGGGTCTTTGATAAAAATCCCCCAGCCTGCCACATCAGATGGTGCCAGCAATAAATGCTAGAGAAGAAAGCACAGACATAATGCAAAAGGGTGAGCAGAGACAGACCGGGGATCTATTAGACTACAGAATAAAAACCAAGTTCCTGCGGTACATACTCAGACCCAACCTAAAGCCATAATCCAACTCAGGTAGATTCAGTCAGTCTGAAAGCAGCTGAGCACGCTGGCAAACTGTAAAAACAGTGTTTTGTTTTGTTTTAAATAAAATACAGAAGATAAGTATTTTTTATCTTACAGAAAAAAATAGAAAGTCTTTGGTGTTCCTCTGGTGCCGTCATTCAACAAGGCGTTCCTGACTTCCCTGAGTAACGCACTTCCAGCCTGGCTGTGACATGAAGACGCCACGTCCTTCTCCCCCTGCATCTCTATCACCAGCAATTACATGTTCGGTTCTAGCCACACCCCCACCCCAGGACATTCTACTGGTTTCTCACTGGTGTCCATTCCTCTGGGGCCAGGCCATTTCTTTCTGAGTTGTCTTCCCATAGCACTTCTCTTGATACCATGAAACACCACCGTGAGAAAGTATCTCAGTCTGGTATTCCAGGGTTTTCTGTCTTATTTTCCTACTTTCTTTTTGTTTGGTCTGGTTTTTGGTTTTTTGTTTTGTTTTGTTTCGTTTTGCTATAGGGCATGTGTACTCGCTGGAGAGAGGAAGAGGGAGAGAGGGAGAGAGAGAAAGTGAGAAAGCACCTCCCTAGGGGACATGGCCACACAGGCACATGCGCCCAGTGTGATTTTCAAGCTGCTGGGTCCAGGACTCCAGCTGCACGGTTTGTCATGTGGGATCCAGCACCTTAACCTCCACGCCACCTGCTGGCCCACTGGCACTCTGTTTTTAACAGAGAAGCCAAGATGATCATCACTGGCGACTCCAGTCAGAAATTCTCAAACATACTCCTTTTCATCCTGGCTCTTTATTACATTTTTATTCAAAATTTTCTTGTGACCATTAAAAGGATTCCCTGACCATCTAAAATTCCAATTTTCTCTTCCTATTTTGGTCCACCCCACATTTTTTTTCCCCATCTTTTAATTATTTTTACATTTTTACACAAACATTTACTTTACATATAAAAAAATTTTAACTCACACTCCATAGTTCTTGACCATTAATAAACAACTTTCGAAATTTCAAAATACTGAATTTTAAAGGTAATGTTCAAAATATTTCTTATAATTTTGTATAATTTTGTTTGTGACTATAACAACAGAAACAGTATGGTTTTAAATATTTTTGAGAAAATATTTACATGTCAACTACTCAAACTTAACTGTTGAGTGAATTTCCCAAATACCCTCCTGATCAGACACTAAGTTAGCTAAATATTACTAAGCAAAAGCAACCCAGTAGGTAAAGAGTATCTACCACAGCTTTCTGCTTTAAGACGTAAAGGAAGTCTACGAACAAGACACACCAACGTGAAGGGTATTTCCCAGTACTGAACACACCGTGGGGAAGTGTGTCATACGACAGCAGGTGTGGGGTCAGGAGAAAAGGGTATTTTTAGGCCTGAATAGGTGTGCCATTGGAAACAGGGCCAGCACAGCCCTCTATGACCCAGTGACCTTAAGGAAACACCCTGCACAGCTCCTGAAGACGATCAGGTCTTCATAAACACAGACGCCGGTTCAAAGACACGGGAAACAAAAGCAAGAGATGGGACACGCTCCGCCTGGAGCAGAGTTCCCGCAGGAAAATTCCTCTTACGCCAAACCTGACGTCTTCAGCGGCTGCCTCTCGGATTTCACTGGTGCGCCTCTTCACCAGAGTGAGCTGCTCTCTAGGAAACTGAGGATGCCTCGCCCAAAGCAAAACAACCCTCCTTTCCCTCATCAGCTGTATCATTCAAGGATCAGTTTTATGTTTTTGCCTCAACTAAATGTTCAAGACCATCTTGACATTTACCTCATTAAAAGCCAACTCACTTACCTTTTTGGAGCCACGCTGAATACTGCAGTTCTTGCAAGACACATTTTTACTGTCCCAGTGGTCGGCAGCTCCACAAGTCAGACAGAGGTCAGGGTCGCACTCACGCACAGCCAGGTAGCACGGGCACTGCTTGGTGTTGCACTGAGCCTTGCAACGGCAGCCGGGAAAGCGGTTCTGGCCTTGAGAGAGAAGCTCCCGTCACCATCACCATCGCCGGCATCACGGTCATCGCCACATGCAGAAACTCCCAGCAAGGAGCTCAGGGGGCGCTGTGGCAAGCTCTGCCTGGCTCTCCTAGCCCACAGCCACCTCCTCTAGCCCGACCCGTGGATGCGGACAATGAAGTCACAGCCACATCAAAGCTGTCCGCACTCTGAAAGGTCACCAGTTGAGTTCTCATCGCCCCATTTTCTATTGATTAAATGAGGGTATACATATTTAAAGTTCTATGTCTTATAAAGCAGGTGTAGGGGGATCTGCATTCTAACAGCCCACAGTTCTACACTTCCCTGGTACCCACACTTTATGTGCAGCTTTATTAAACAATTATGAAAACCCTTCAGCCTGGGGCAGCCGATGGCATGGTGGCTGAGGTGGCTGGATCCCACGTGGCCAACTGCACAGTCCAAGTTCCAGACTCAGTGGCCTGAAAACACACCAGGCACGTGTGAACATGTGCCCAAGAATTCCAAAAGGAGAAATGGAGAAGAGATTATGATGTGGCCATCTTCCCGGGGTGGGGTGGTGGTGCTTTCGCAATTTCCTCCTACTGTCTCTCCCTGGTGGGTGTATTTGCCCTACAGCAATGTTTGAAAAAAAAAAAAAATAGAAAAGACAAACCCATCACCCTTATGCTACCTTCCTTTATTCTGAAGACCAAAACCCTCCTAATTCTGACAGCTTCTGGTGCACCAAAATCACTTGAGTATCTACTTCTACATTCCCCTTACATTATGTGCCAACTTTACAATGATAATAACTTTACAACTTTTAAGCGATGAAAGGTGAACAGAGAGAAATATCAAGCCCCTTTAGTACAATTTACCTAACTTGAACATACACACACCGCCAGGAGACTGGCTAGACACTGACGCGTGCCAGGGTGCGGCCTTGGGTAACACCTGTAGTTGTAGAATAAATCGATTTCCAAAGTAAAGAACGGGGGTGTTCCCACGTTTCAAAGCTTTGATTTAAATTACTATTTTAAGTTGCTGGCCAAAGGCCTATTTAGTTTTCATGGAACTGCACCAAAACAACAAATACTTACACTCCGAACTGCACTGACAAAACTTTTCGCAAAAATTCTGTGCTATCACACATGGGCATGAACTGTCACAAGGCTGCCGAGGATGGTCACAGGGCTGATAGTTGTAAACGTGGTTAGAGGAGCCATCTGGATGAAGAATAGAGAGAACGAACAGCACACAGGGCAGTGAATCCAGGTAGGTGGGAAATCGATATACAGAGCACCTTCCTCCCCATCACCTGGCCCTCCTTTACTGGAAATACATTACATATATTCATATTTACAAAACGACAGCAAAAATGGCCTCCCACCCAAGTGCCCATGAGCTCCGGAGCGCTGCCTCGTGTCCCAGCCCCATCCTCCAAGTACTTTCACTGACTCAGACTCGCTCCAGTTGATCTGCCTTCTCTTTGCACAGAGAAAACTGCTGGAGTCACCAATAGACCCTCTACTTAAACTGGTTTATGAAGATACAGAAGTCAATTATATCAGAATAACACAAACTCCAATCTAGTTACTATTCTAGAACAAATGAGGGCAAGGTATACATTTTTAAGCTAATAATGAAGAGGAAAAGGAAGATGCTAACCCTTTTTCAGTTGTATCTTTCTGCAGTGTGCAGCCCACAACCTGCAAAAACACAAAGAAAATAAACAAACTTCCGTTTGAAGTGAGAGTATTGTCACAGCTACAAATCTGACAAGGAGCGGCTTCACTGGCTCTCTGTGCCATCAGTAGAGCAGTGTGACAGCAAAGGGAGAGCCAGGGCAGACTCTGAAGCAACTCCACAGGCTGAGCATTCGGGCTGCCCACAGCACGCACAGAAACCCAGCCGTGCACGCTCACCTGGGCAGGACTAACACCTCACGTGAGGCAGCTGCAGCTGTGCCTACCTACTGGTTTATTCTAAGACGGGTTACACTGATATGTTCTCCAATTTCACCTATCATTACCCATCCAACTGGACCACATGGTTAGAAATAGCTCAACCAAATCTTCAGAACCATCTACTAAAGCCTAAATTCCTACAGGGAGAACTTCTAATTTCTTTAGGTTCTAAATTGGGTTGATCCTACAATTATTTAAAAAGACATAACAAGAGCCTATACACAACTTCTGAAGCATAAAACTCTTCCCTTAACTCACCTAACTCTGCTGCTTGTTTTATAAGAGTGGGGTTAGGAACAGACAGAGATAAAAGAAGAGAATCCACTTGTGATTTTCTGGCTATGTGTTTACAAATCAGATCATCCTACAAACATTCCCTACATTTCATCTCATTCATGAGCCTTTGTGAAAGGTAACAGTCACACAGGCTCACAGTGACTATTTGGAACATCAGAATGCAAGGCCACAGGCTAAGAAAAGCCAAGCTTCTAGAACAAAAGATAGACTTCTGAGTACTGGCCCAGATTCACAGCAGGAACATGTCTTAGAACATTTCACAGCAAATGCTAAAGCAATTATTTATGTACCCTTTGCTGAAAAAACTACTAAATGTTTTTCTTAAGCAAAATACAGTAGGGTAATCATAATTTCTATGACCTTAACATGCCAGATTTACTGAAGGCTGCAGTATTCTTACAGAAAAATACTGGCAATTGCCAGTGGAAACAATCTTGCACAGGTCTGTTTTTGACAGCGGTTTCAGCTGGTTATCTTAACAGGCCCCGTAAAACCTGCTCAGTGGCCTTGAAAAGTGCTGGCCCACAACAGGCACCCACACTGACCCCCACCCCGGCAAGGCTGTACAGCACTCACCGGTGTTTCCTCTTCTTCTTCCTTGGAGGAGTATCGACATCCTCAGCGGGAGCTGGAGCTATGATACTGGACTCTTTTACTCTAAATTCATACACCTGTCAAGAAGAGGCCACCACAAAACCATGAGGACAGACGTATATAAGCAAACCACTCTTACATATCATTTCTCGGCCTCTTCTATGACACTTCTAGGTGATGGGGATCAGCAGAAATCCCTACCCCTGCCCTTATGTAGGTGAGGAGCTGCAATTACATTCTGTTCAAAAGAGTGGTGCTAAATTTAAATTCTTACTAGCTTTATAAATCCACTGCTATCTAACCTTCAATGCCTAAGGTGGGGATCTTCTCTAATGCCACCAAAGAATAATTTCCATTCAGTTCCTTCTGGGGTAAAAAAAAGAAATATAATTATGTTCAGGAGATAAACAGGAGATAACTAGTAACTCAGAATGTTCTTATGTTTGAATAATGAGTACATATTTATCCCTACATCTGAAGTTCTGTTGACAATACCCCCATCTGATCTGCTCACCTGTCTACATGTTTTGGTCCCGATGAGCCTGGCAATGGCACAGAAATTATCGTAGTAAGTGCCGATGAGAACTCTGAACATCGAGGCTTCAGCACCACTCCACTCCACATTCTCGGGAGGTTCAATATTTGGCTTCATCTTTATTGGTGTTTGACACCGAGAATTTGCTTCTACAAAACCAAAGGTAAGCACTGGTTAAGAAATGATGATTGGAAAAGGTTTTAAGTAAAATTCAGTATGTGCTTAAGAAAAAGCAAGAAGTTAATCATATTTTAGAATAAACTAGGCTAGAGACAGTAAGATTTTTTTCTTCCATGGCAACTGTAAGATGGAGCTCCCTTTAATTAAAATAAACTTCCAAAATAAAGCCAACAGGGTTAGACTATTACCATCTATGGTGAGATTCACAGGGCAGTAAAGGACAACTAGGATCCAGTCAGTAAAACACTAACTACTCACTAATGTTCTCTTTAACAAAAACGACTCACAGAACATCAGGAGTACTAAATCAAGTGGTCTGAATTTCTTTATGTCCTGTCTGAACAGACGGAGAAAAGGGAATGGCACAAACAGAATAGACAATAAACTGGATTCTCGACCCTCAATGACCCAGAAGGGCAAACGTCATGGGCTTAGGTATCGGGAGGGCTTAGGTAGGCAGAAGAGAGCAGGAACAATCCACTACTCATCTTGGGAGAAGTCTCCATCTTGTATTTTCCATTACATTGAAAACTAGTCAGCCGAGAAAAGCATTCAACACATTACGCATTCCTAATCATCAAAATATGAAACTTTCAAAGCAGCAGTGAAACCCAGTGGTTAGCTGTGTCTTACCAGAGGAGCTAGAAGTCTCATCTTTCTTCTCCTCTTCTTCTTTATCATTGTTCTCTCCCCCCGTTTCCGTCCCTGCTTCCCTGTCACTATCTGTGTCCTTGGACTCCAGCACGTTAATGGTGGGAGTGCTGGGTCTGCTGCTGTTATTGGGGAGCCGTCCCCTTCTCCGGCCTCCTGGGCGTTTGGGTGGGGTCTTTATCCGCTCAGCGGTGAGGGCAGCAGCAAACTCCTTGGCTCCTTCCTACAAAATGAAGAATCAGACATCAAGGTCAAGTTCTAAAACTCACCATGGTAGAAGAGAAAAACAAAAAACTGCATAAGGCAAGTAAGTCAAGAAATTTATCACAATATCATTTACCACAAATAATTGTCTGCATATATAAAAACATTTGTTGATAGTTTGAAAGTTACAAAAGGATAAATATGGGTTCTATATAATGTTAAGAGTAGTACAAAATCAGGCAAGATAGTTCTACATGGTAAATTAGCTGATTATAATTAACTTAAAATATAAAATATACTTTAAATAATTATGGTAATTACTTCTATCTACACACAGTCTACTTAAAGGTGAATTTTAATAAAAACAACCATACAGCTAATGTGAATCAAGTTAGATTTCCTATTTCAGAGTTTAAGATAACACATACCTCTTTATAGTAATATTTAAAATATACAAGAAGAATACAAAATACAAACATGCTTGACGCTGTCACTTCCTATCTTATTATTAAAACAAACACTATTATTTTTTCCTGTGAGGGATACATGGCCACAGGAAGACATGAAAGGAACTTCAGGAACAGACTGTAAGGGTTACACTTTGCATTAGGAAGTACAATAATCCACTCTCAGAAAGTATAAAACAATGGTAAGAGCATGGTCTATAGAGAGACCACAGAAACATTTCAAATGAGCCAAATAAAATTCTGCCTTATAAAGAATATTATAACATAATGCTCAAGAATTCCATTTTTTGGTGGAAATAGAAGGGAGAAGTTTGAAAGCAGCCAACAGTTTTATACTTCATTCTACAAAAACCAAATTGCTTAAAAATAGGATACCTTCTGCAGGTGCCATTCAATGAATCTTCTGTCCAAAATCCAACAGGCAATATATACCCATTTAGTTCCTAGGTAGGAGTGGCTTGGTTCAAAGAGGGGAAATGGTAAAAATAAGATAGTACCCGTAAAAAACAACTTTTCTACCTCATATTTTCCTAACCCCTTACCTTTTCTCCATCACTCAAAAACAAAAACAAAAAAAATCTGTGGGATCTACAATACAGCTCCAACTACAGTGGATCTAAAACTCCTACAGCTTAGGAACTATGGCTTCTGATCACTGAGCTCTGGTTTCCACATGCGCTGTCTGTGCTTCATGCTCTCATAGACCTTGGGGAAGGTATGAGAGCCCTTGATCCTAAAGACCTTGAAATGCGGCTGAAGAGATAACCCAAATAAACAGAGAAAGCTACGAGATGAATGGAGAACTAAAAGGTGCAGTTTATGAGCTACAGAAGAAGCGAGGTGTGAGCAACCTCCGCCTACTACAGGGCCGGGATGGAAGCGTGGTGCAGACAGTGTCAGCTGACTTTCTCGCCTCCACCACAGTTCAAAAGCACGACTTCTCAAATGCCCTCTGGAGTAATACGGCACTGAATCTTACCAAGTGCTGATAACACTGTGGTCCACAAGGTTTGTTGTCTAAAGCTGTTTCTGTGTTCTTCCGTTTGTAAGTGTTGGGTGTTGCATGAAAAGCTGTAAAATAAATTAAACATAAAGTACCCAAATACAACCACAAATACTTATTTTCACTTTCCCAATTCCACTGGAAAAGTCAACTGATCAACTACAATCTTGCAAATGTGGTTTACATTCTTTTACCTAATTCTACTGTCATAATATGTTCACCACTCCTCCTCCTCCAACCCGAGGAGGAGGAAACACAGGAAATTCTGAAATGATCACAGACTCAATTTTCCCCTTGCAAGCACATAAACAATAAACAATAATTACATAAACATTTGACCCTTTAATGTCTCCATACGTGCATGATATGGTATTTCCTCTATAATAAATGTACATTTCCTGTTTCTATGGAAAAAATTTCCAACATCTACAATTTCTTGAATTCTGAGTAAGGTCAGCAACTTGTCAAATGGAGAGAAGAATAAGATAGCACTTGTTAAAGCTGTTCCTAAAGAAAAGAGGACAGCCCCGATTACTGACACGCACCCAGTCCGAGGGCCTACTGCCTTACTACAGGAAGGAACAACAGTCACATAAGACAGTGAAGAAAGATACAATGTTTGAAACTTAAAACTCCTAAACAATGTGATGATAAAGATTCAAATGATGATAACACGGGTACATTAAAGCACACTTTCTCCTGAGCTTGCTTCCTGGTGCACTAAGACAAATGTATGTCATATTTAAAGATGAAAAAAATTATAAAGAATTGATTATTTAATTTTATTTATTCATTGATTTATTTTAATTTGACCAGAAAGAGAGAGAAAGTGAGAAAGCTAGCCACCAGGTCTAGGACTCAAACCATGGTCAGCCATGTGGGAGCCCGGCACCTTAACCTGCGGGTCCCCAAGATCAAAATTATTTTAATTTGAATAAAAACAAGTGACACATTCCCACAAGTCGTTTTTTTTAAAGATTTGTAAGAAGCCATACTTAAGTTACATAGAACTTAAAGGAAAAAATCTAACAGACAGATGAAAAAAATAAAAGGGACAGTTACAATATTTCCAAAATAGAGCTTCCAAGTTCAAATGCTGCTTCGAGTGTATAGGCTAGCTCTCCTAGAAGGAGCATGACAGCCTAGCACCACATGGCTAACTTGGCAGAACCCATTCTAACCTGTGAGGACCTCCGAACAGCAAAAAGCCAGGGTCCTCTCAGCAGCAAGGAGCTCTGGCGACCCGAGAAATGAGATCTTCATTAGCTAAGATGAGCAGCACATAGAATGGAACGGCACGTTTTCGGTAAAAAGTGTTTTCATTTGGACGCCTCCTCTAACACAGTGTATGCACAGACTTCTCCCCAGCTCAGTGGGAACACAAAGGCACAGGCATATGCGTCTGTGCACGTCAAAGCGCGTGTACAAACCAAGACAGTAGCCTCTGCTGGCTCGGAGCTAGACGATGGCCTTGCTCAGAGCTGAAAACGGCACACTCATGACAAGCCACAACTATACAGTCTAAGACAAAAACAAGTCAGCCTATAAAGGAAAGACAACGTAACAGTCAGAAGATACTTGATTAAAAAGTATTCTTCATTTCACACTGTATTTAGTTAAAACGAGAAAGAGAACTTTTACTGACTAGATTTACATCTACAGAATTCCAGGAAAACTGCTTAAATAAAGAATTTCTGGGCCAGCTGGTGGTTAAGGTGGCTGGATCCCACATGGCTGACTGTACAGTTCGAGCCCCTGATCCAGTGAGTTTGAAAAACACTGAGTGCATGTGCACCTCAAATCCTGAGAGGACAATGAGGACAACGAAGGAGAAGGGACTACCGTGTGGCCACCCTGCAGAGTATGCTTTCTCACCCGCCCCCGCTCTCTCCTTCTCCAGGGAGTGCATGTATCTCTCCAGTAAGTGCCTATATCCTGTAGCAAATGGGGGGAAAAAAAAAATCCTTCTTGCATTGTCTGAAAAGTCATAACATATTTTTCTAGGTTTTTCTATGCAAAACTGCATCATGACTTTCCAACAACTCAACAGAAATGTCTTCACTGTTTAGGATTTCCAAAAGATTGAAAGCAGGCAGCTTAGTATTTAAAATGTTATTAAATTATATTGCAAACTGAATATAGGGAAAAATTATACAATAATCTCTGATTAATTATTAAAAATTAAAGCAAGATTTTTAAAAAGTTTTTACCTATTTCTTACATGACAGACAGGGACAGAGACAGAGAGACAACACCCCCCCAGCATGGTCTCAATGCCATGATCCACTCCCAGCCTCAGTCAGGTGCCTAGAGACCTGGACTTCAGGCAGGTCTCCAGATGTGAACCCAGATCTTCCCATGTGGGTCAGGCTTGCAGAACATTGCATTTTGTTGCTGTGGCAAGATATGATGCTTTTTAAACTTTACAGGAGAGAACATGAACGTTAAGGGCATTTTCCTTTTCTTTTTTAAAAGAATATTTATTGGGACCAGCAGTTAGCATAATTGCTATGTTGCTGGACTCCCATGTAGTCGACCGCGGTTCGCGTCCTGGCTTAAACTCATGCCAGGTGTGCTCAAGATCGTGAGAGGAGAATGGAGGAGAAGGGATTGTGGAAATCATCCCCTGGGGGGTGATTTCTCACTTTCTATCTCTCTCTCTCTCTTCCTGGCAAGCGCACGCGCCCTATAGCAAAAACACCTCTCCCCCCAAAAAGAATATTTATTTATTATTTAAGTAGTTTGCTATAGGCTGTGTGTGTGTGCCAGACATGATTTTCAAACCACTGGACCCCAGGACTCAAACTACAGTCAGCCACATAGGATCCAGCTGCCTTAATCTCTGTGCCACCTGCTGCCCATGGACAATTTTACTTAATTTCCATAGCAACCTATAAAATCATACCTAAACGTTTCCAAGCAAAAGTAAAAGACTTTTAATAATATACAATTCCAGCTGTTCTTTCTACATGTATGTAAGATCAAGCTGGCAAGTATAAAAAAGTTAAAATCAGTGTATACTAGAATCTTGTCATGTTTTAACGAGTAAGTGATACTTCAAATGTGCCATCATATAATTACAGAGTTGGAGCAAACCTTAGCAGTCACCTATTTTGGCGGTGACGTTACATATTAGGAAACAGAGGAACAAAGAATAACTGACTGACATACACCATGCACGTTCAGAACGTCATGCGTTACGTGAAGGAGAGCATAACCTCGCATCTCGCTAGTCAGTCTTCGCAGTCACTGTCGTGGTGTACACCATTCTCTTAAACACGTATTTAAGCCTGCTGTCATGTGGTAAACTAAGTTATCACAGATCCGTACAAAATGTCAGCTTTATACACTAACATTTCCTTAACTCTGATTTTGTCTGCTCTAATTAGAATTTGCTATTAAGGGGGCTGGGAGCTGGGAGATGGCGTGGTGGTTAAGGTGCTGGACTCCCACATGGCTAACTGGGGTTGAGTGCCAGACATGGTGACTTGCTTTCTCACTTTCCCGTGCTCTCGCTCGATCTCGCTCTGTCTTTGGTCAAATTTAAAATAATAATAATAATAACAAAATAAAATTAAGAAATATTTTTTTAAAAAGAACTTGGTATTAAGAATAAATTCTTACTAAATATACTATTTAGAATTGGAATTATAAAAATTACTTTGTATGTATCACAGGTATCAGACTTTTACAAAGAGTATCACACAAAATAAACCACAGCGATAACAGAGCACAGGACACCAGCAATAACTGTTATCACAGATGGCAGCTAACGAGGAACACGTCCATGTTCAAAGCACTTGTTCAGAGGCCAACAGGCATGATCACACTTAAGCCTCGTTAAAAAAAAAAAAAAAGAACAGGTATTAGAATCATCATCCTATTTTATAGAAGAGAAAAACTAAAGTTCAGAGGGAGTTAGGGCATTTTATTAATTATATGGCAAACAAGCATTCAAGTTATGTCTCAACTTTTGACCATCACACCCTCTGTAATGTTAAAGAAAGCCAACCAAGGGCCACCAGGCGGAGTGGAGGTTAAGGCACTGGATCCCACATGGTTGACTGTGTGGTTCAAGTCTCAGTCAGACCTCGTGACTTAAAAACCACGGCAGGGGCGTGTTGGAGCATATGCACACGTGCCCAAAACCCTAAGAGGAGACTGGAGAAGAATGTGCTGTGGCCATCTCCCCTCCCCACCCCGAGGAGTGATTTCTCACTTTCTCTCTGTCTCTCACTCTCTTGAGTATATGCATCCTATAGCAAAATAAACAAAAAGCCAACCATCAATTACAAACTTTGGAATAATGTCTTTGGAGAAATTAGTTCCCTCACCAAAGACATTTATCCTTCAACATACATTATAACACTCAAGTCGCTCTGATAGAAATGCTCCATGCTTGGGACCAGCAGTTGGCGTAATGGATATATCGCTGATCGAATCCCAGACCCGGTGACTTAAACTCACACTGGGCGCATGTGCGTGCGTGTCCAAGATCCCGAAAGGAGAATGGAGGAGAAGGAATTGCGGCGTGGCCGTCTCCCCGGGGGGTGATTTCTCACTTTCTGTCTCTCTCTTTCTGGAGAGTGCATGCGCCCTATAGCAAAAACCTCCCCCCCATAAAAAAAAGAAATGCTCCATGTTTGAGACACTGGGCCTCTGGCTAGGATGAATTACTACTTACTGATCCCCTACCATCAAAACTTCTTCCTCATACAAAAAATGGAAGACACTCCAAATTACAAGAAAGGCCTAAAATCAGTAAGGCCACCAACAGTCCTTTCACCCCAAAGTTTAAAAATTCTCCCTTAAACAAAGAGTTAAAGAGAAAATTATATATAAAACAAAACTTCATAATTCCTTAAAACAGTATTAATACCAAACATCACATCTAAAGAAGAAATTGAAAAATGCTCTAGAGGGAATTCACTATGTTAAACATATAAATCCCAAAACAGAGAGAGGTGCAAAAACAGTCGATTCATAAACAGAAAAACAGTAACCTAACTAATACAGTAGCTAGTTCTCTGAGGAAAAATACATAAAACAGATTTCTAAAATAAAATATACAAATAATTTTTTATTATCAAAAAAGAAATGGAAAACATACAAAACAAAAATAATCACAGAAATAAAAGTAGTATCTTACTTCTTTGATTCATTTGTACAATAATAATTGTATTAAATGCTACATCTCTAAACAACAAACTGGAAGGACCCTGGGGGCCAGCAGGTGGCATGGTGGTTAAAAGAGCTGCCCGACGGTGGCTCAAGTCCTGGACCTGGTGGCTTGCTTTCTCACTTTCTCTCTTCCTCTCTGCCTGCTCAAACTGGAAAATAGTAATTATAAGGTTAAATAACTCTTTTTAAAAAATTGGGAGGACCCTTTCAACAACTCCAAAATGAAGCTTCCATCCAATTCTTTGCTATAGCAACATCTGAATGCAATTTACACATTAAATAAAAAAAAAAAAAAAAAAGGAGGGGGAGGGAAGGAAAGGGGCAGAAGTGTTTCTGATAGGGCATCACTATGTCACAATCCTCCCCCCTCCCACCCCAGCTGGCAAGAGCACAGGCTCACGCCACCCACCACACGCAGCCTGTTCTAGGTGGGCCAAGAAACAGAGCCAGGACCCAGTGCAGCCTCAGCCACCATAGTTGAGCCAATTTACACCATCCTTAATAAAAAGTGGACATATGTTATAAGATAACAGTATGCAAAAGGGAATTAAAATGCAATTGGAGACAACTATTTTAGGGGCGTGTGAAGATAACAACTGCTGAGCCCAAGCAAGATATCTGATAACTGTCCAACGGCTCAAGCACCAAATGACTTACGGAAGATCAGAAACTACCAATTCGATTGGAAATTTGATTGGAAGTGCAGACAACAGCACGAGGATGAGGAGACATTGGAGACACAGTGATAATTCTAGAAAGTTACTTTGAGCTTTTCTAATGTAAGAGAGCTAATGCACTAGTAAGTCACACACACACAAAATCCCCAAATACATCATCCAGCAGTTATGAGCTGCAGCAAATGAAAGGAGAAAAAAATGGGGGAAAAAAAACTAAAAGGAGGTGAGATATAGCTGCTTGGACAAACGACTTAGTATTAACATTAAGACACACCACCAGGTAATGAGGGGGGGAATCTGCAAAGGGGTGACACAGAGCAACTACAAGCGCGGCGAACGTGTGACTGCTTAGCGAGGGAGAACAGCTTCACAGCAATGTGGCCCTAGAGGTAGCACCACGCCAGAGACAGACAGTAACATACAGCAGAGAGAAAGGTAAACTGTATTAAGGAAACTCTATCGAGGAGCATGAGGAAGTATAAAGTACATTTTCAACCCACATGCCTCAACGTAGTTGTCGTTTTATAAGCCGCACTTAAGTTCCAATTACCTGAAAAATTTACTAAGAAACCTTGTTTCCTAGAAATGTCAGAGAAAAAAAGGTATTATTGTATATATCATAAATTTCATTAAGAACACTTTATTACTTGTATTCAAATGTTAAGTATTTTTAAAAGCAACTTACCCAGAGGAACCCCACCCCACAAAATAGATTTAACTCTATACAGACAAGAATTATATAAACATCTTTTTATCTAAATTTTTATTCAACACAATTTGTTTGGCAGTGTCAATAATGCTGCTCTGGGCTATCAGCAGTCCATAATAATACCTTTATCATCAACAACTGTTCAGTTAGCAATGACAGAACGATCACTGACCTATCCCAGGTTAGTGGGAAACAAATGAAATGTGTGCAAGACTTCAGAACGCTCCTCAAGCAACCAGGTGAAAAGAACAATCTTAACATATTGGGATCTTAACATATTATTGACTCTTAACGAAAAGATCAAATGATCAGTTCTAGTCGTCATGAATGACAGCACTACCCAAGCTACTGTAGGACATAACTCCACAACAAAGGAAGAAAATGAAAACGTACGATAACTGCACTTACGATGTAGGAAGCAGTCATACTTGAAACACCGCCTACAGAAAAGCGTGTGAAATGAGTGCAAGCTCTGCTCCCTCTGAACAGACTTAGCGTTTGGTCCATCTATGTTGGGGGTACATTCCGGAGGAAGTGCACCTGGGAGCTGCTGCTCGGTGAGTTCTTTATATCTGACAGGGACCGAGAAAAACATCAAGTGAATACGAAACAGAAGTCACTTTTTCCAAAATAAAGTTTCTAGAAGATTTTCATGTGTTATTTCTGATATTTACCTTGCCTAAAACACAAAAGAAAAAGAATTAAAGTATAACAACTTTTATGGGGGCAAAGAAGCATGCATAAATATTATGCATGGTATATCGACAATCAAATTTACTGTTAAGTTTCAGACATATCATGAAAAATATTGTATTGTTTTAATTCATTGGTATCCAGAAACATTTCCCTCCAGAGGCACTGCTGTCCCCGATACATGTGTGTGAGCATGTACGTACTTAATCTACCCACATGAGTGCCGGGTGGTGCTGAGTACCAAACACGCAGTGGGCCGCGTGTCTTGCACACACAGGGAACAGACAAAGTGGAGTGGCCTGTCGACCACGTTCATTTCCCTCGTAATAAACTCAAGTGGTGAAGCACATACCACCCACGGCAAGACTGCCTCAAAGAGCAAAGCTTACTTTTCCTTCAGTTCCTCTGCTGTGCCCTTATCTGGAAACATTGAGGAAATGGCTTCAAAAATTTTATCAGAAGGAAACTTCCGAGGTGGGCGGCTTTCCTTGTCTAAATTGAGCCATAGGGAAGAAAGAAAGAATGGAAGTAAACAGTTTCAATCCTTCATTTTCTCCACACAACTGTAACTCTGTAACAAAGCGGATTTTCCATGAAATCAACTTGTTTCCCTTACTTCTGACATGTTTTATGAGTGTGTGTGAAAGGCCTGTCAACAAAATTAAAATTCAAAGATGACGATTTCTGGAGTATTAGGAGGCAGAACACTGAGGTCTACTTCTGTGACAACAGCACTGGTCACCTCACCTCCAGGCTCTGTCTCCTCATCTGTGAAATGAGCTGAACTGGATGGTCACTAAGGTGCCTGGCTGTTATGAAAAAAAAAAAAGTACATGTCTTTAAATTGCAATTCTCCCCCAGATTCTTCTACACTGCCTTCATATGGGCTTTGAAAGTAGTGTCCACCAACTGTCAGCTCTGTGTTAGGACTGATAATGTTTCTGGTAAACCATATAATTACTGTGGACGAGTTAATCAGACCTGGGGGATCACCACAGGATTCTGGGTTCTGTTTCCTCTGAACAGTGTAATCTTGGTTTTTAAATTTTATTTATCATCATCATTATTATTATTATCATCTTTTAATCTGTTAGGGCATGTGTGCTCGCCAGAGACAGAGAAGGGAAAAGAGAGAAAACAAGCTGCCAGGTCCACAACTTGAACCTTGTTCGGCCATGTGGGAGTCCTGCGCCACCTGCTGGTCCAAGAACACTGTAATCTCTAGACGCATCTACTCAAATATAAAATGGATCTGATAATATCCACCTCATAGGGCTGCTGAGAGCAGTACGCGGTCATGTGCATGTGAAGTGGTTAGCATATGACCTGGGCACAACACCAAGGTCATATACTAGGGTGATGATTATGACAGCCCAGTGAAGCTCCCAAAAAATCAAATGCCTTTACTAGCCCAAGGAAAACAAATAAGCTCAGGTGGAGGATGAAATGCTGTAAATAATATTCTAATTTTGATCATATTTGTTACCATGATAGTTAATAAGAAAAAACAAAAAGAAAGAAGAAACTAAGCTCTCCTTTTCCTCTGTTGTTTTTGACAGGAAGCTGTAATGGCTACCACATGAACCTATCAACAATAATCATACATACCATCTCGGTTGTCCTCCAGATCTTTCTGTTTTTCTTCTCTCTCATCAGGGTCATCTCCATCATCGTCATCATCATCATCATTGTATTGACCAAGAGCATTCACCAGCTCCACGAAAATTTCATCATTTATAAACCCACATTCTGAAATTCACCAAGTCAATGTCAGAAACACAGGAGTTAGTGTGAGTGACAAAAATGCCCGTATGCCGAGACCAGCAGTTAGCGTAATGGCTATATCGCTGGATTCCCACATAGTCGAACGCAGTTCAAGTCCCGGACCCGGCAGCTTAAACTCATGCTGGGCGCGTGTGTGTGCGTGCCCAAGATCCTGGGAGGAAAATGGAGGAGAAGGGATTGCGGCATGGCCATCCGCCCTGGGGGGTGATTTCTCGCTTTCTGTCTCTCTGTCTCTCTCTGTCTTTCTGGCAAGCGCACACGTCCTATAGCAAAAACCTCTCCAAAAAAGAAAAAAAGAAAAAAAAAGAAAAAAAACGCACGTATGCCTTTTCTAAGTGGAAGACATAGCCAAAGCCAATCAGTCAGTACTATTAACATTGTTATTATTGAGGGGGAGAGAGATCATTTTCAGGACTGGCTTTAGGCAAAAGGCATAATTTGTCCTCAATCCCTGTCACTTTCTCTTCCATCCCCAGCGGTCTCAGCACCCAGAGCGCATCTCAGCCTGTGGGGACTAGCTCACTGTGGCCTCAGTCTCTTCGCAGGTGCCTGTCCTTTCATGATCACCTTGCTTCCCACTAATAATGAATGAGGATGTTACCACTATTCTCTCCCTTTCAGAAACTTTCACAGGACCTCCAGAGAACAAAAAAAACCTGCCAAGCCATGATTCTTTTTTCTTTCTTGCCATAAGCCATATGCACTGACCAAAGAGAGTCAGAGAGAAGAAAAGTGAAAAAGCATCCCCCTAGGGGTGATGGCCACACCTCAATCCTTTCTCTTCCATTCTCCTCCTGGGATTTCGGGCACACGCACACACACACATGCCTGGAGTGATTGTCAAGCCTGTGGGTCCAGGACTCAAACTGCTGTTGGCCATGTGGGAGTCCAACACCTTAACTACCACACCACCTACTGGTCCCAAGCCATGATTCTAATGATCAAATTTCAGATACTGCAAGCTTCTAATGGGGAATAAATTTCTAAACAGTAGGACTTCCTGGAGCCCATATGCAAAAAGAGCTGAGTCCCAATACACATTAATTTTACTACTAAAGAACTTTAAAATCTATATACAATTAAACAATTTCTATTTAATTTACATGTTGTTTTCTGCTATCACAACTATGGATAATTACTAGGTGGCAACCAATCCTTCAATTTAAAAACAGGAAAGGGGGGGACGTCAGGTAGCATGGTGGTTAAGGGTGCTAAACTCCCACATGGCCAACCGCAGTTTGAGTCCCTAACATGGCAGCTCTGCTTTCTTACTTTCTCTTTCTCTCTCTCTCACTCTGTCTCTAGTCAAATTAAAATAAATAAATAAACAAATAGTGCTAAATAAAGTAATTCTTCAAATAAAAATAAATAAAAACAGGGAAGGGACCCACAGATAGCATAATGGTTATGTCAATGATTCCCACGAGGCTGACCATGATTCGTGTCCTACACCCAGAGGCTTAAAACTCATGCCGGGCACACGTGCATGCATGCCCAAAATCCTGAGAGGAGAATGAAGGAGAAAGAATTGCGGGGTGGCTATCCCCCCCGCAGGGTGTGATTTCTTGCTTTCTGTCTCTCTTGTGGGTGCATGCGCCCTATAGCAAAAATCTCTCTCTTAAAAAAAAAGAAAAAACATGAAAAACACTGAAAAAAAATTATTTTTCTTTTTTGGAGAGATTTTTGCTATAGGGTGCGTGCGCTCGCCAGACAGACAGAGAGAGACAGAGGGACAGAAAGCAAGAAATAATCCCCCAGGGGGATGGCCACGCTGCAATCCCTTCTCCTCCGTTCTCCTCTCGGGATCTTGGGCACGCACACACACGCACCCGGCATGAGTTTTAAGTCACCAGGTCCAGGACGCGAACTGCGGTCGACTACGTGGGAGTCCAGTGACATAGCCATTACACTAACTGCTGGTCCCAACACTGAAAATTTTAACCTTATTGAGCCCAGGCCAGCCCTTTATAGTCCAGTACAAAGTTTAATTTTAATATAAAAAAAAAATTATACCCTATGTTTAATGAATCAAAATATCTCTCAATTCTTTAGCCTTTTTCTCCAAGAGAATATATGAGAAAAAAAAAAAAAAAAGGTTCACCTCTATCCCCATGTACTTTTCCATCATAATTTTTTATTAGTTCTTCAATGAAAGTGCCATCCTGGTCTAAAACTTCATCCCCCATATAAGGAATGTTATGTAAAACAGTTTCATCTTCCACCTAGAAGTAAAAAATATATTTAAAAAGCAGGTTTATACTAAGTATCAGAAAATTTTATAAAGTCAATGTGAAATAACTAAAATACAACAATGTTTTTCCCTAAGTAGATGTCTTCATTCAGTTCTCCATATTTAAATGATAGTCTGATAGCAAACTCTAAAAGTTATAAAGGAGAAAAGTACCTCTTAATACTAAGCATACCTAAGAAAACAAAAGGTGAAGGTTTCGAAAAACAGTTGAGAAGTACTATATTTACTTAATCTAACATACCAACAGTCATTACAAACATTACTATTATTGTATGTACCTCTAAGAAAGGAAAATATGCTGCGGATTACAGAGACTTTTTTTTATTGTCAAATGGCACATGTGCTTGCCAGAGACAGCGAGCAGGAGAAAGCACCTCCCTATGGAGTGTGGTCACACTCCAATCCTTTCTTCTCCATTTTCCCATCCCATTGGCATTTTGCAGAATGAACAAACATGTGGCTGGTGTGCTTCTCAAGTTGCCAGGGTCAGGACTCAAACTGCAGTCAGCAATGAGAAATCCAGCTCCCTTAACCTCTATGCTACGAGATCAGCACAGACATCAATTTTAAAACACGTTCTTATTTCAGATGTTAACAGGTGAGAAAGGCAAATGTGTCTCCAAATCTATACCACATGGTTTATCAATTGGTAAGTCAGCTAGGGCCCAGTCACTGTGGTACATGCCAAAATGCAATGCTGCATAAGCTGGGACACGGAGGCCCAGGTTCATATCTGGTCCACCCTCAAGGCCAGGTATGATGCTGCACACCTGTAATCCCAGCAACTCAGGGAGGTGGAGGCAGGAGGACTGTAAGCTCAACGTTGGCCTGGGCAAAATAGCAGACCATTTGTGGGGTACGGGGGGAGAGAAACAAATAGGCGTAGAAGTGTACACCTGTAGTCACAGCTGAGAGGCTGGGGCAAAAGGATTCCAACATGGACAGCCCTGTCTCTGATCAACCAATCCCAACACAGAGAGATTCTATCTTAAAATAAGTCTGTGTACATGTGTGTATAAATACACATGTATACATACACAGTGTATGTACACATGCACACAGAATCATGTACAAAATACCAATACTAAAACAACAATATGTTTTCTAAACATCACTTGATTGAGTCATTAAGACATTTAACAATAAAATTCTAGAGATGTAAAATAGACTATCAATGGCCATTAAAGTTTATGCCTAAAGGATTTATGCTTAACACATAAAATAGAATGATCTACAGTAACATAAATTACAGTTCAGTACTTAGATGAACGAGATGTACCAAAGTTGACAGTGCTGGTAAAGATGGCAGGTGAGTTTGTATCAGGTCTGAAGGACAAAAGGAGAGAAAAAGGGAGCTAGCTTTGCAGAGAAGAGTCAATCAAAGAAATGCTCAGAAAGGTTGGAGCACTGAAAGAACACGAGGGACAGAGAGCCGACATTCATGGGAGAAAGAGAATGTCCAGGAAACAATTAAATGACCATAATCGTAGATAAAGACTCCACAGGTCTTAAGCACGTGTTTAAGAAAACTAATTCAAAGTATGGATAGGCTTAAGTCTCAAGATGCCTTTGGACAGAGATTTGGTTACAGACAGATTTTCAGAAACACAATTCTGATAAACAGAACAGACAGGCTAAGCCTGACTAGGAGAATGCAGCGGCTATTTAGATGGTCAGATGGCACGGGCTGGGGTCAGAAACAGACCACGCTGAGCAGGGAAGACAAACTGGACAGGCGGGTGACTGCCAAGCAGGGGCAGGCAGGCAATACGGAGAAAAGACAAAAACTTCCAAAACCTCTGGATAACAAATTCAGGACAACTGGAGAGTTCCTAAAGATAATAGTACCTTAGACAAACAAGGAAAAAGGAAATTAGAAGGGGATAATTAGGTATAAAATGAAAATTTAGATTTAATCTTCTGATATATTGGCTCAGGCTCCTGGACACACTGGAGTCCTGTCTCCACCTCCTCTCACTCGCGCTAACCTCATTTAAAACAGAAGAGTGGAGTTAGGGAAGACATTAGAAACACCTAATTTTTAAAAAGCTAGTAAGTAATTCTCTAAAGTAGGATACAAAGGATTTCCATGTCTAGTAAGTAATTCTCTAAAGTAGGATACAAATTATTTCCATCAATATTTTATTGGCCTTACTATTTTATATGTATCAGGCAACTAATAAAATGATGTATTTTTACTTAACAGTCAAGAACGCATACTCCACGTTCTTTTTTGGTCCATCCTCTTTCATTCTACTTCCATAAAGAATTAAATGTTAGCACTTTATTACAAGAGCTGTTGGGTCAGTGGGAGAGGTGTTTGAGTGTGTTTTACAAGGCTGAGTATACCTCATACTGCACATTTTCACTTCACATGTTGCCCAAAGTATTTTAAATAACAAGTTCTCAATGAACAGAACTCCAAAGTCAGACTGGGACTGTAGGACACTGGCTGGCTCCCAAGATAAGAATGATATGCTTCGTCTTTTAAATATTTGTAATCATAGGTGTGGTTATTGATTAGCACTTTTCCTTTAGAAAATACAGAAAAGAGCAATACTGAAAAGGCTTTAAGAAAATACTAACCAATTTTTAAAGTCACTCTAAGTGCTATAATTTTGATAGTTTCACAGTGACAGAAATTAATCTATGCTTTTATTTAAAATAAGTTATGAGCAAATAAGCAGGAGACATATTATTTACATACCATAAAATTCTGCTGTAGGGGGGACCAAGAGTACATGATGGGTACTGAAGCAACTGCGTTCAGAGTCTTTAACGGGATGACTTGTGTTGGAAAATCCAAGTCACTGGTCACCGAACACTACAACAGAAAAGACGCAACGGACCCTTAAGAACAGAAAGACGTTCAGCTGCAGCTACCATACTGTAAAGAGATGCTGCTTACTTCAACAGTTCTGAAAAACAGGATCTTCACCTAAGACAGCAAAGGTTCTCTTTCTGACTGAGGTGAAAAAATTATTCACATTTTCCATGTTTTCAGAACAGTCCAATCCTTTCCATACTTACCAATAAACATCAAAATCTGTACTCAAGTTAGTGTCGATGTAACTACTCTACACTCCCACTATGAATTCCTAGCCCACGCTTCGTTTCTATCATATGGAAACCACACAGGACGGTAATATGCGGGGTCACTGGGAAAGCCATAAAGAATCTCTCTACGCCAAATGCATCAGGACTTTTCCAACGACCCAGTATTTACTAAGTATGCCACTTAAATCTTAATAAAAACAATCAAAGTTTTTAGGCTAATCTTTCTTTCATTTATTTATTTTTAAGATTTTTGTAACAGGACACATGCGCTCATGGGAGTGGGGAAGGGCGACAAATCACCCACCCGGGGGGGAGGGGGTGGCCGTGCCACAAGCTCTCCTCCTCCATTCTCAGGATTTTGAGCACGAGCACACACACGCCCGCGCCTGGTATTTTATTTTACGCTGCTGGGTCTGAGACTCAGATTGCAGAGTGGACCATGTGGGATCCAGTGTAACTGCTACACCACCTGCTGGTCCCCCAGGTTAATCTTTCTTTTCTTTTTTTTAGAGAGATTTTTGCCATAGGGCATGCATGCTTGCCAGAGACACAGAGACACAGAGAGAATGAAAGTGAGAAATTACTCATCCCTTCTACCCCATTCTCCTCAGGACTCTGGGAACAGATGCACACATATTCAGTCTAAGTTTTAAGCCACCGGGTCCAGGACTTAACTGCGGTTGACCACATGGGAGGCTGCTTACTTCAACAGTTCTGAAAAACAGGATCTTCACCTAAGACAGCAAAGGTTCTCTTTCTGACTGAGGTGAAAAAATTATTCACATTTTCCATGTTTTCAGAACAGTCCAATCCTTTCCATACTTACCAATAAACATCAAAATCTGTACTCAAGTTAGTGTCGATGTAACTACTCTACACTCCCACTATGAATTCCTAGCCCACGCTTCGTTTCTATCATATGGAAACCACACAGGACGGTAATATGCGGGGTCACTGGGAAAGCCATAAAGAATCTCTCTACGCCAAATGCATCAGGACTTTTCCAACGACCCAGTATTTACTAAGTATGCCACTTAAATCTTAATAAAAACAATCAAAGTTTTTAGGCTAATCTTTCTTTCATTTATTTATTTTTAAGATTTTTGTAACAGGACACATGCGCTCATGGGAGTGGGGAAGGGCGACAAATCACCCACCCGGGGGGGAGGGGGTGGCCGTGCCACAAGCTCTCCTCCTCCATTCTCAGGATTTTGAGCACGAGCACACACACGCCCGCGCCTGGTATTTTATTTTACGCTGCTGGGTCTGAGACTCAGATTGCAGAGTGGACCATGTGGGATCCAGTGTAACTGCTACACCACCTGCTGGTCCCCCAGGTTAATCTTTCTTTTCTTTTTTTTAGAGAGATTTTTGCCATAGGGCATGCATGCTTGCCAGAGACACAGAGACACAGAGAGAATGAAAGTGAGAAATTACTCATCCCTTCTACCCCATTCTCCTCAGGACTCTGGGAACAGATGCACACATATTCAGTCTAAGTTTTAAGCCACCGGGTCCAGGACTTAACTGCGGTTGACCACATGGGAGTCCAGTGACGTAACCATTATGCCACCTGCTTGTCGCAACCTTTATCTTTATATTTACTTTTCAAAAATCAAGTGGCATTTGCTGGTATTATTAGATGACGCACAATTATTAAGAATAATAGACTCCTTTTGATTTAACAAAATAAATTTGAATATCTGCAGAAGTGTAATCTCTAAATTAGTAAGTACTTCCTACATACTAGGCACTGTTTTAAACACGCTGCGTGCCCATCATATTCAGTCCCCGTTACAACGTTGTAAGATGGGTACTATTCTTAACTCCCATTTTTGCAAGTGAAGAAACCAAGGTGCAGACAGGGTGAGTAACTTGCCGAAGGTCATACAGAATGTCTCCACAATCTGGAGTCTCTGCCCTTACCCACCATCATAGAGATTGTCAGACAGCATATTTCTACAATGTTTAAGTGCATATAAGCCTTGAAACACGGTACTTCTCATCATCTACAATGGTATGCTTTCAAGACACACCATCGTCTTTTGCATTACTAACAAAAAAATGTTGCCAAACTGTAACAATGCTTTGTTATCACTAAGATGCATGTTGGTTACAGATGTTAAAATATTTCAACCTTTGCATTTCTAGATCTGTGAAATATGGTAAAAATCTGCATCCAAATAATAGCAGCACTTCCCATTCTGTCTAGGAATCTGGATTTACATTGAGAAAACGATAACCTAATTATCAGGCCTCTAGAACCTTTTCAAAAATAACCTAGATATACATTCATAATCTGTACTCAATGAAAATAAGCAAAAAGAACTGAAATAGTAAAATGAAACAAAAAAGTCATGTATATACACATTTACATATTGCATGTTAAGTTTTTATTCAGATGTCTTAGAACCAGCAGGACTAGGTCTGATGAAATCAACTTAACTCTTGCCTACAAGCTGCACTGAGCTCAGCGCTGCATCGGGCTGGTGAGAGCTCTTGGCGCGGTAAGTTTAGGGTAGAGTAGCACGTACTATGTTGAGGGCACTGTGCTACGTGCTTACATACATCATTTTTTTTTTTAAGAGAGATCTTTGCTATAGGGCACGTGCACTCACCAGAGAGTCAGTGAGAAATCACTCCCCTCTCATAATTTGGGGTATGCCTGCACACACGCCTGATGTAGAGTTTCAAGCCGCCAGGTCCAGGACCCGAACCGCTGGAACTCCCAACTATGTGGGAGTCTAGCAATGTGGCCCTTACAGCATCTGCTGGCCCCTATATACAGGTAAGTTTAGGGTAGAGTAGCACGTACTATGTTGAGGGCACTGTGCTACGTGCTTACATACATCATTTTTTTTTTAAGAGAGATCTTTGCTATAGGGCACGTGCACTCACCAGAGAGTCAGTGAGAAATCACTCCCCTCTCATAATTTGGGGTATGCCTGCACACACGCCTGATGTAGAGTTTCAAGCCGCCAGGTCCAGGACCCGAACCGCTGGAACTCCCAACTATGTGGGAGTCTAGCAATGTGGCCCTTACAGCATCTGCTGGCCCCTATATACATCATCTTAACAATTCCTTATTACAACCTTAGGACACAGGTAGTTTTAGCATCACAACTTCACAAAGAGAGGACTGAGGTTTAGAGAAATTAAATAATTTGCCTAGTAAGAAAGGTAGTAAGTTACAAAATCAGAAGTAAAACCTAAGCCTGACTGCAAAGTCCAAGAGCTTAATTACTGAGCTTCAATTTTTGCCCATGAGATGTCAGTAAAGTGAAATATCTGCCATATGGAAAACAGAGACCTACGACAATGTTCTAGGAGCAACTTCTCCCCAACGTCATCTTATTCCTGTCCCTGTCAAGTCTTCTTCTTCCTTCTTTCTACTCATGGGTAAATGTTGGGGTGAGAGCTGGTTATAATAACTGGATAAAGTATTACATACCATCCAGTGATTTTAAAATTCAAAATAATTCTCATTTCTTAAAAAACAAAGATTCTGGATTTTGTTTTAAAGTTGGTGGGGATAAATCAACTCTGCGGCTTTAATTCTGAAGATGAGCTGCCTTTAAAACGTACGGAGCAGCAGCTGCCAGTTGCCTCTCCCACTCTTGACTTATTCCTGTTTTAACGTTTACATCCAAGGTCACAGGTAAGGGTGGACAGTTGGCCGTGCTTTGCGACTACTAGATAAGCAGGACGCTGGCTCTGCTTCATCCACGTTTGCTCTGGCAGTGCAGAAAATGCTGAGCGTGCTGACGTCAGCCGACGACTGCGAGGGCTGAAGATAAGAAGGCCGAGCTCGAGCGCAGAGTGCTCCTTCTGACCCATACCCAGTGCTCCGTCAGCTCCATTCTGAGTCAAACAAGAACACCCAGGGACAGGAAGTAAGTTCTCAGGACGCAAAAGCGGCAAAGTGTGGTTTGAAACGCTCTGTGTTGAAATAATACTCAGCAGTATCTCAAAAATATATACATATATACTAAGCACTCAAAATACGTTTCTGGAAAGGACAGTCTACATTTGCTGATTTTTTTCCGACGAGGCCCTTAACTTCCATTTCTGCTGATAGCTAAGAGAGCACCTATTTAGAACACTGATGATCTACCTGCACCGCCATCATCTTTAGAGGACTCCTAGAAACCTATCCCCCCCTTTAACTGCTAGCCTTCACTCAACACCATATGCCTTTCTTTCATTTATGAAGTAATATTTAAGGGCAACAGCATCTGCTGGTAACACAAGTGGGGAACACTTACCTACTGACTTACAGGAAAATGTATCATCCTTGACAGTTTACTTAACTAAGCCTCATACCACTCACAGTAAGGAAAAGAATCCTGTCCTCACGGTCTCTCTGCATTCTACCTGACCAGAGTCATGCACCCTGGACTCGGGCACTCACAGGAGACCTGGATCAACAAGTTAAACCCTCTGATTCTGGTTCCACATTGAGCATCACAACAAAAGCTATTCCCACACTCGTCATCAGTGGCAAAGGAAGAAAGTACAGTCGCTAAGGATGCTACATTTTCAGAGAAATGCAGCTTACTGGCAAGTGACCAGGTTGCTCTGAGGAAGGTGGACTCACATCACCCAGCTGATACAATGGGCGACCGTATGGCTGGACCACTGGCAGCTGGAGAGGAAGGTAAAGCCAAAAATAGGAGTTGGAGGAGGACACAACCAAACTGAGACTCTTGGCAGAAGGCTGGTTCCAAGTAAAAACTGGGTTATGGAAAATCATGGAGGGAAGAGCAG